AATCATTTGTGGAACCAAATATTTGGTATATCCAAATTCATGTTGTCTTAAGTCTGACACCGTTCCGTGTACCTAAGTGTTTTGGATGCAGGAGCATCTTGTTTGCATTTTTTGGGGTTAACACTTTTTCTGATATGTTAATGGGACAAATTACAGCATCTTAAGCACGAGGTGTTTCAGAAGTGCCCCTTGTTTGGGTCAGGGTCCAGCCAGACTGCAGTAACAGAGAGTGTTGCCTGCCCAAGGAGAGCATTCCTCAGCCTAGCTATGGCCGCCTTCTGTCCTGGAGTGCTGGCTGATCCCAGCTGTGCTTTTGCCACTGTTGCCCCTGCACCACTGGAATGCCTCATCTAGGAAGCTCTTACCCACCTTTTGGGAGACTACCCTTTCACACTGTGGCTCTGCCTCTGTTATATAGGAGTCTCTGTGTACATGGTAAACATGATACAACACAACTTTCTTCACCCTGTGTGTTCTGGATAAATTTGCAAAGATATGTCACTGTGTATTTGTCATACCAAACAAAATCATGTTAGACCTTTAGGTTTGCTCTCATTTGGGTGTTTTTTATTTAGTGCTGCCCATTTGATAAATTGACCACTGAAATTAAGATGTTGGAAAGTCAGAATTGACTATTTCCACCCGGCAGGATGGAATGCAGCCATGTTATTAAATAATGACAATGTTGATTTACTGTTATCAAATTCTTCATAGAAGCTAAAAACATTAAACAGTCTGTGCAGGTAGAATCCAGACCCATGGATGAACTATTGCCATTATGATCTTATCATACAACTTAGCTACTTTGGTACGTTGGAAAAAGCTAGTACTTTGTGTATTCATTAAATGATTGTATGGTCTGCAAATGGTCCTTATCATATTTCAGAAGTACATAGCCAAAATGATTCTTATGATATTCAACAGCAGAAAGCTTCTTTGTAAACTAGAGATAAGGTTTCCTGTGGAATCTCCTCAGGTTTAAAAATTGGAAGCCGCGTCATTGCCTGCTTAATTTGTTTATGTTTAGTTCATGGATTACAATAAGTGCTTCCATTTTTAACCATATCTTGCTCCAATGTATTTCTTTTTGCTTCTTGTTGTGGTTTGGTCCTGGCTAGATGCCAAGTGCCCAACAAGAAGGGAGAGAGAAATAAAGCCCAAGAGAAACAAGGAATGATGCACAGTGCAATTGGTCCCTAACCCCTGAGTGATGCCCAGCCTGTCTCTACCAATGACTGGTGCCTTCCAGCAAACTCCAACCTAATTTATGTCCCTTTGGCTAGTTTGGATCAGCAGTCCTGGCTGTGCTCCTCTCCTGCTTCTTGTGTGCCTGCTCACTGGCAGGGACACTGAAAAGTCCTTGACTTAGGGTAAGCAGGCGGGGTTGAGGTAGCAACAAATCTGACCAGAATGTGCTAGAACAAGTTTGTTTTATAGTTTAATGGTCACTGGTGAGACCATTGATTAATTTTCTCTCAAAGTTGGTCTGCTTGTTCTTAAGTTGCATTATACGATACCTGACTTGCAGTAGGTGCTCCCCACTGTGCTGTTTGTCACCTGTGGGAACTGAGCCAAAGTTGTCATGTTGTACTTTGTAATTCTGGTTTATGATATGGTAGAATTGCTGGCTCTGAAATGGATCTGGTATTTATGCTCAGTCTTGCAATCATCTCTATACTTTGGAAGAATCTATCAGAAACAATTATTAGTTGTATTTTTTATCTTTCTTTCTTGGAGACCCAATCCATGGTGGAGATACATCCCTTCCTCTTCCCCTTCTCCTCCAGGCTAATTAAAACAGCTCTTGAGAATTTTGAATATATTTGGGATGATGAAACCAGCATGACTGTATTGCTATGTATCCTGAGTGGGTTTCAGGTCTTGTTTAAGAATAAAAAACTTTTTAAGAATATCACCCAGTGGTCTGCCCTGAAGCCAGATAATTGTTGGTGGCAGGGTATATGGGAGAGTATGGGCAAGTGCCAAAGGCTATGGGCACTTCCAGTGTTTCAGAACTTCATCCTTGAACAAGTGCACGATCTGGAAAATCTAGTAAAATATTTGGAAAAAGTGTGATGTCACCCTGGCAAACCCAGAGAGACAAGAATCACTGCAAAGTGCTGGGCTGTGGCTGAGGCCTTCCAAGCCCTGTCCGACCATATTCATTACCCTCAAGGAGAGGAAAAGGTCTCTGGATCAGACAACAAAACAACATCCCGTTCCAACCCCTGGGACAGGCACTGCAGCTGAACCAGAGCATCAGCCTGTGCCTGTACACACAGGGAAGAAATGGAGCCTTTGCTTCTACTAAAGGGGGACTAAGCAGAAACACCACAAGAACCTGAGGAAGAGGCAGAAAAGGAGGCAACCACTGCATCCCTTTGCCTGAGTGAGATCCAGCATATGCAAAGTATTTTAGCTGTCAATCAGATGAGCACATCTGGCTGCCTTGGTGATGGGGTGATGAGAGGAATTAGAGAGGAAGAAAGCCAAACAGCTGGGATCATTTTCTAGGGAAGGGGGCATTGGCAAGGCACTTGGAAAAGGGATGCAAGTCCTCAGCCTCTGGAAGTAACTCCTGTCAAGGGTGAAGGAAAAATATTCCTTCAAGGAAGATATTTATGTCACTCAGGAAAATGGACTGCCATGGAGAGAAGTATCCAGTACCTGAGGAAATTAGCATGCTAGAGATGATTTATTATGACCTGAACAATGTGCAGCCACACACAGATCCAGAAGTCCAATTCACATGTGCCCTGTGGCAGAATCTGTGTATTTAGCAAAACACAGGAAAGGTGATAGTGTATTGGAAAGTGTGGGACTTGAGCATGACATAAATGGAATAGAATAAGGGGTGGGTACTGTCCTGGTTTCAGCTGAGATAAGGGTAATTTTCTCCTAGTACTTGGTACAGTGCTGTATTTTGGATTTAGTAGGACAGTAATGTTGATAACATGGTGATGTTTTAGTTGTTGCTAAGAAGTGCTTGCCCTAAGTCAAGGATTTTTTGGTTTGTCTTGCTCTGCCAACAAGGAGGTGCACAAGAATCCTGGAGGGAGCATGGCCAGGATGGTGCTGTTTAGCCTAGGAGTATATGGGGATACAGCTGCTGAAAGTTTCTGTGAAGAAGTTTTTTTGAATCCTGAGGAAGCTGGGATGTGACTGGCAAAGAAACTTAACTTTACTAGGTCTCTTTACCTTCATTTTGCCTTCTTGTGAAAGACTCTTAAAATTGTGGTGAGGTTTTGAAGCCTTGGAGAGTTCTCCACCATCTGCTGTCAAAAATCCATAATTAAGCTGCAAAGACTTAAGGACTGACACTAAAATGGCACAGTCTCAGTGGTTTTGACAGATGAACATGGAGAAGTGCCAAATTATGAGAATCATGGGTGAGGTCCTGTCTCTGAAGAGCTGTTTTATTGTCTCCTGCTGACAGAATACTGAGGAGGGAGAGAGGCAAGGAGACCTTTCTGACTGCAGTTGCTTATCCCTTGCAGAGTGCCTGTTGGTAGGGGTGTTGCAATGGATTTTTGGTCAAAAAATGCCCCTCAGCTGCTGCTTGGAGGGAATGGGCAACTACAGAAAGGTAAGTGACTAAAGAAAGGCATGGGACAAGGAAAGAGCGCATCTGGAAGAAGAGATCTAGAAATAAAGTTGCAACTGCAAATGACAGTGACAGAATTTTGACATGTTAGGACACAGATTAAGTACTTATTACTTTCCAACATAAATTTTGAAAGGATTGAAAAAATTATTGATACAGTTTTCTGTATACTCTCTATATACACCCCTTGCTGTACTTTATACACCACCCCCCAAAATTCTTAAAATAATGCAATCTGAAAATCAACAAAGATAAATATTTTTAATAAAATGGGCATGTAATGAAAAAATTACCAACTTGGTTTGAATTTTTTTTTTAAATTGCTGATCAAAAATCCTTGAGACTTCTTACTATATTCCCTAGTTCTCCTACTGCAGTGCAGGATCATTCCCAAATGTTTGTCAATGCTAGAATTTATCTAATCTACTATTATATGTAATGGTTTCATTTCAGAGACCAATTAAATATTTTTTTGTACTGTTGAAATTCAATGCTCATAACTTAGTTTTTCCTTGATATTTGTGTAGTACTATCTTGTATTTCTCTAAATTATTCTGCTTATGGACCAGTGTGGAGTTTGCACATTTTAAATATTTGTTGTAGATGTAATTGTAATTTTATGTCATTTAATCAACACTATACATGTATTTTCTTTTAGTTTAGTCTCCCCTAATTATTTTTGCAGCTTTTCTTTGAACTTAATCCAATTTGTCTATGCTTTTCTGGTAATTAGGTGCTGATAGCAGAAGAGCATTTGGATAAATTCCACCTGTTATGTGAAGAATTATCTCCTTTTATTTCTTCAAACCTGTGTCTTGCTAACTCTCATTAATGCCCCTAATTCTCAGTTTGAAAAACCAGCAGCCACTTGATTTCTAGCCACCTTTCCCCAGGTAGTGTGATAGTTTTGCATTCTGTAATCCCTTCATGGTTCATTTATTTTGACTTCCCCAAGTGCTTGCCTTATTATTTTTGTGTAGGAAATAAGTTAAGTTTGTTCTGCTCGTGGTTTCCGGAGCAGTGTGGTTTTCTTTCCTCATCAATAGAAACTGCCTCTGTTTTTCTCTAAGCTTCTACTATTTATTTAGTTATAGAGTCATTCCCTAACAACTTTGGCGGTTGTTGATGCTTGACCTTTATCTATGATTATGCAATGCAGTTGACCTGTTGAAATAGTGTTAGTGTGTCAAAGTGAAGATCTTAAAGGAAAAACAAAGTTACAGTTTCCTGGGCAATACTAATTTTGGACCTCTCTCACTTGTATGATTACACCCATTTTTTTTTCTTTTACACAAGATTCAGTCTCACTAAATGCACGAATAGGTAAAAGCAAGCAACAAAAAACTTTAATATCTTCTTTAGCCTTTAGCTGTATCATCTTTATTTTAAAGGCAAGGAAAATATGTCAGAAAAGACTTTTTATGAGACTTTTACTAGCAATTAGGATAAAGTCTGTCAGTGTGGAAACTCCCAGCACTGCTCTGTTCTTCAGAGCTGGCCATGAGCATGCTTAGGAATGCACACTTGAGAAAGTGCATGGTCATATCACACCCCTGAAACTCAGCACTACAAACAAGACACATGAAAAACTGAGGACTGAAAAATATTTCTGTATTGTGGGCAGGGAGGGAAATCCGGAAATTTCTGTGAAATCTATGGAAGAGTCAGTCCTGGAAATGAGTTCACCTGTCTTAATTTCTGCTTCCTAAACTTTACATGTGCTCTCACCCTCTGCCAGGCTCCTGTAATGCATGAAGCCATGTAGAAAATGAGGCGGGGACAGAATCAAGACTATTGGTTGCCCTGGTCTGTGTGTACATACCCTTCTTTCTGTGATCTGTGTCAGACCCAGGGGAGTACAAGAAAAACAGAGTAATTCTCTGAGGTGGTAGGGATTTCCTTCATCTCACTGTGGATTATCGTGTAATAGCCAAATATGTACAATTATAAACTGTATAATATTTCATCAAACGTCAGACAAGCATGTTAAACCTTTGCTCTCAATGAAAGATTATCAAGGTTCTGGGCAAAGGGAGAAAAAATAGCAGGTGATTTGAAACTATTTAGAAATCAGATGTTGCGGACTGGTCTCTCACAGAGTAGTTGGACAAAGAAACAAAACCTGCAACTACTATACACTATCATAAGGGTTCTGTGTTATCATTCAAAGTGAGATAGTTCAAGGAAGTATCTGAGGAAGATTATTCCTTCCAGATTGTAGCCACAGAAGGATGCCAGAACAACTGAGAAAATTTTGTATTCAATCAGGTATGTGAAAACAAAAAAAAAACCAATACTCTATTTTGTGAACTTTTCATTAACAAGTAGTTGTGAACACTGTGTAGGGGGGTTCTGCATATTATTTTTTTAGCAGCGTAGATTTTGATCATCCTTGACTGTTCCACTAACACATTTATTTGTTCATTGCTCATGGTCCTGCTATGATGAAAGAACTCCATCTTTTAGCATCCAGTAATATTTTTGCTTTGATCCTGTAACCAAATTATGCTGGCCACAAAATTATTTTAATTTTGTCATTACTTTACATGGTATACTTATTATTCATTTTGGTTCTGGCACACACAGCATGGAAACTTAACCCAAATAACCACTAATGTCTTTGCAATAATGTCAAGCAATATTTGGCAAATATTTCACTGTATGTTTTTGGAAGGTGTTTGACACTGACCTGATTGCAAATGGGAACAATTGTGAGTTTATAAAACCAAGCATGGAAATATAAACTAAACAGCCACTCATCTCCAGCAGGAACACAGCAATTATATTATTCCAAAATATTTAGTTTCAACTGGAAATCAATACACAACAAGTAAGGGGTGAATCGGAGGCCTATTAAAGAGGCTAAGAAGGTGGCTAGGCAGGACTTTGTTTTGACTTTATATTTTGCCTTTATTCTCTTTCATGTTAGAGTAGTTAACTGGATTTTGCAGTATGCTTGAAGTCATTCAGCCTCCTGTAGAATAATTAAAAGAATGTTGATTGATGTGTGTTGCTTATTGGAAGCCACTGATATTCTGTTTGTACAAAGAGTGCTGTAGAGGGAGTTATATATAAACCTTGAGTTTAATATCACAATGAATTTTTTAAATCAATTTTTGACCTTGCTAAATGAAGAAAAAAGAGATTATTCCAAAGCATTGGCAGCCTATAATTACAGGTGAGTCTAGTAGGTAGGGTAAGAAACCTATACATTGTTTATGGAAAGAATAGTTGACACTGCCTGACTGAGGGCACAGTCTAGGAAAAAAATTATGGAGTAGTATAATATCAGTCTTGATAGGACATCTGTACTGGCTAATATTATTGACATGTAGGAGTTAGGAAAGTTTGGGACAGAATCAGTTTAGTTACTTGGTAAGGAGCAAGATAGCTAGTTCATGGGCTTTAGTCTGGTTAGATTGGATTAAAATCTCAAATCCTTATTTCATTTTAGGATTAGTTTACATGTCTTCATCAGCCAGGCAATATTATCCATTTTTTAAAACTTAAAAGTATTCATAATACCAACATCAACTGGTATTATTGTTATTGTTGTCATCCTCATCATCATTGCCATCATCATCCAATTTCCAAGATCATTTCAGATTTTCACAAGATCTCCAGTCAAACTTGTTTAATCTGGATTTAGGTGATAATACTTTCTGCCAGATCCTAGTGATTAAGCATAGTGGAGATAGGTACATAAACTATATCTCAGTCACATTTTCTTGTGGATATTTGAAGTTTTATTTTGCTTAGGATAGGCTCAAATCTGCCAAGATATTAGAATTGTTAGGTAATTTTCTGTTGAATTCTGTGATAGCCTAAGATGTTGCCTGGGCTGTGTTCTTTTCGCATCACTAAAATTCAGAAGTGGAGTGGCAGGTCCACAAATAAATATACAGCTTCAACATAAAAGAAACTTTCTGAAAAATCTGAAAAACCATTTGCCAGAGATGAATTATTAGATGGTAGAAGTGCTGCTTTGATTTAGTTGCACAAGTCCACATCTGTTTCAGGTGCAAAAGTTCAATTTTAACAGGATTGTTCCAACCCTGAAACCAAATGTTGTCTACGAATTACTGGTTAGTTTAAGATAACATATGCAAGAAACCTTTATGTCTGTCCAGAGATATTTAAAATTAATTACAAATAGCTGCTATTAAAAAGTTTTCCAAAAGAATGGACATTTCTGGTTTACACTGTAGAGGAAAATGCTGTCATATTACCCAATAAAAGCCTTACCAACCATAATTACTACTGATTGCCCTAGCCTCTCAGTTTTACCTGGCAAAAAGAAACATGGACTGTTGTTCCTGTTACTCTTTCCCCTGCCCCTGAATCTCCACAAGAATGTCTAGCTGAGGTGCCTACATGGCATTTTGGTATAAACAGCACCACATTTTCTCCTGCCAGATCCATATGGTTCATACATGCAGGTGAAATGTTGCTCTCACTGTTTTTTGGGATACTGTTCTCAGACTGCTATCAGCCACACGTGTTAGGGAAGTGGGAAGAACTTGAACTGTCATTCTCAGCAGGCACAGATAATTGTTGGTAAAACCCCTCAACATATTGATTTTCTGGCTTACAATGTGAAAGAAACTAGTTTACTTTGACATTTAACTCAACACTCCAGAATTGTGGCCTCTGGTTTCCAATAGATGAATCCTAAAGAGGTATTATGAACAAGTTAAAATCTACTGTAATTTCTCTCCAAAAATTCATTGTCTGCAGGAGGGATGGATAAACAGTTTTTCACTAATAATCTGAATCACATAAATTATTAGTTATAATGAATTGTTAAAAAAATATTCTATACAGTTTTTATTCACAACTGCCATTCCTTGTCATGAAAAAGCACTTTTGATATATACTTAGGGCCAATTCATTCTTGGCTTTTTGTTAGCTCAAAAACTTGCCTTTGAATGTGGAGAAAATGCAATAGGTGGAACATTCCTAGAACTGCAAATTACTTCAAATTTGTTTTGCCCAGTATTTACATCAGCTAAAATTCTTTTTGTAATGTCTACTGGTTGTTATTTAAATTGCAGACACTGAAAATCACACAGTTGTATGGTGAAGGGACAAGGGAACACATGCATTCTGGAAGAGTGTAGGTTCTATAAGGAGTTTCCTATTTGAATATTTACTTAAATACTTATATTTTTGAATGTTTTCATTTCCATATCACAGAAGCACATTAATTTTGTTAAAATACAGTAAGAGGGTTAAAACCAATCTACTTTCCCTAATTCTGAAGAGCAGAAATTGATGGCTGTCTTGGTGGCCTTTTGCTTTCTTCAGAGTCTCCCAGAAGATGTTGCAGTTGTTAAATCTGGAAATTGCTCATAGCAGAACTGATAAAGGAAATGATTTATGAATCAAAGACATCGCTGGACAGTGTCAAAAAATGGCCTGTCAGTTTTGTAAGACCTATTATTAATGACTGTTTTGAGTTCTTAAATGGGACTTTGTCACAAAACAACTTTTGGGGTAGTCTTCTGCAAAATGGTGAATATCCTCCATTTCCTCCTTACATTTTCTAGGATTGTTTTGTTTCCTCCTTTGTGCTTTGTAAGGCTCAGGGTGGCGAATGCAGTATTCAGCTATTCTGGCATCCAAACATTTCAAACAGTATGTCTATGCTCAGAAGGTCTTATTTTTAAGTGAAGTGTTCTTTTATTGATACCTTGTTTAATATAGTCCTACCATTCAAATTCAAGTCGGTGAACATTCCAAAAATATTTGCGCAGAAACACTTCCATTTTTATCCTGTCCTGGTGAAGAAATCCTTTCATTAAGCAAATCTATTTTCTTTCAACCCTCCTCCAGTCTGCTGGAAGCCAATGGGCTGATGGATGTTGCAGGATGGTGTTGCTGTTCTTGCTGCCAGGCTGAGGAAAGGTTTGTCTACAAAAGCCTTCTCCTGCCTACAGTCACATGCACATGCTGTTGTCTCTCTTTCTCCCTGGGCTGAGAGAAGCTTCTCCAGGAAAGGGACCCATGTTGGCCCCTTGGCAGTCTCCAAAAATACCTATTGCATTTCTGCAGTGTCCATCTCATTACATGAGATGTGCACAGGCTCTGTTCAGATTGATTGCTTGGGTGTTGTGCCCAGCCTTATTTGCTGCAGGAAGTTTTCGAATGTATTTGGTAATCCAGTTAGAGCTGGAAGCTTGGGGTATGGGATTTATTAGCTGCTGTTCTAGTGAAAATGCTGCATCCAAAAACTCCTTGTGAGCAACCACGGTTGTCTGATGAATGCTGAAATGAGGTGCTTCCTTTTTGAAAAGTCTGTCATACAAGACCTGAAATAAAAGCCTCAAGTCAAAAAGCATGTATTACAGATATTTATAATTTGGCTCTGTTAAAAAAATATTAAATTGCTACATTTTTAATCTAAAGATTTGGAAAAACCAAGATAAATTCCTAAATGAGGTAGACTGATTCCCCCAATGGACTACCTGCATTGTGTTAGTTCCAGTGTGGTAACTTTATAGTGTTATTTTTATGTGCTGCTCAAAATATTTTATAAAATCTTTTCCCCAGTATACTTCAACAGGAGGATCAGCTATCTGGAAAGGTATAGGTGGGCTTCTTTTTTCAGTACTTTTGATAGGTATTTCTCATAACTCTAGGCTCTGTTACCAGTCCTGAAGAATGGAAAGGAAACATGCCATTGTTAAATGAGAGGTGTTAAAAACCAAAGCAATTAGCTGTGAGCATTAGGCATCCAATTCAGCTTCTTTATATACATACTTAGTGTAATTTTCAAGAACAGTTTTTCTTAGATGCAAGACTGCTGTTATAATATTTGTCTATGATGTGTAAGCTTGACAGACAGAAGAGCTTAAAATGTCCCTTGTGTTGTGTGAAAACACTTGGAAAGATGTACACTTGCAAAACAATTGCTTCTTTGTTTCTTGCAAACTTCAGTAAACTTGAAATTCCCCAAATGTCAAATAACTAAATTATTTATTACTTAGAATTCATAGTCTCCTTGCCTTCTTAGGACCCCTTTTTAAAATTTTTTTTTAATTTCTAGAAATGTTAAATCATGTTATGAATATTAACTTACACTTTAGAAGTATTTATACAAGAGTACCTGAATTCCATGGGCTAGCAGTGATCATCAGAAAGATGTGCTCAAAGACAAATAAATGTTATAGAGAAATGAATTTGTTCTTGCTCAATAACGGGATTTTACAAGGCGAACAAGAGGCTGAAGTTTATAGAAAATTCTTCTATCTGCCAAGAGGTTTGAGATTTCATGAAATTTTATTTTATTTCTTTTAATAACTAAACAAGAAATTCTGGACTCACACCACAGTAAAAATTGTAATTACTTTTATGACGTTAAAATCTCTGGTAGTAATTCTAGTTGAATGGACTGTTTAAAATAAATTATTTTTAAGCTGATTTCAAGGTTTATGGAAGAGACTTATGCTGTGGTATTGTCTGTCCAGCTGCCATTTTGACACTACTATCTTTAAGTTATGTGAAAAATTAGGGGCTGCATGGAGGAGGGAGGCTCAGGTTTGTGTGCTGCTGAGGAAAGACTGGGCAGAAAGCTAACACTCCATTCTTTACTAGGCAGCAATGGACAAAGTCTAACTTTGGACTATCCACATTGCATACACTCTCTTGCCTCTTTTATGGGTTGAAGGGGACCATTTTTCATCAGTTCTCCTTATCACAGAAGAGCTCATTTGAATGGCATTGCTATAGCTACCTGAGCTCCAAAAGACAGGATTTTGAAAACCAATATCATATGCTTTATTAAATTCAAGTCTTAAGTAAGGCTATATATAATCATTTTAATTTCGGAGGTTTCACAAGTAATCCTACTTAAATATATAGAGAAGATTTATCATAAGTTGTTAGAGCCATTTTTCTTGATTATCACTTACTGAGGCTTCAAAGTACTCACTTTGAAGTGCTTAAAAGCCAAATATGTTTTATTTTTTCTTGCCACAGCATCCAGTAACCTAATAAAAGACAGATTATACTGATTTACTGTGCAGTACAAGGGATAACTAAAATATTAGGGTTGTTTTTACATGTTTGCCCCATAGCTTTGTGAGTTATTCCAATACTACCAGCAATATAGATAATTTTATATTACAGGTAAAGAACATTCATGTTTTGTAAAAGTCATATTTGACTTTAGTATGACAAAGGGCATGACAGAAAGGGACTTCAGTCTTGAAGTCACAGGGACTCATGGTCATTTGGCATTTCTACTAGAGGAATCTGTCTAAAGACAGAGTCCCTGGAGAAGCCCTGTCTGCATGGCTTTTGGCAGGAGACCATGGGGATGCTGCCCTCAGAACACAATGCTGTCTTGCAGGCAATGTGCAGCTGGCCACTCTAGTGTGCCAGCAGGCTGCCTCTGGCCGCTCTAAGTCCCTGGGCATCCTTGGATGCAGGCCTGCTGTCCCCCTTGCAGTTCTTCTGTAGGGACAGAGACTTCTCCAGGCATCCTTCAGAAGTCAGTCAAGAACTTTTCCTTGGCTTGCCAACATGCTTTAGGTCACTGCTGAGGCTGTGGATTTCACTCTTTAAGAAAGTGTCAGTGTAAAATAATTTTCCTTTACATGAGAACTTAGATCCCATGGAGGGCTCTGAAAGGAAAAGCAGAATAATTTCATTCTGGTTTAGCCTGAGTGTCACTGTGATGGGTGCTGGGTGACTGGTGTGGCTGAAAGATTGGGCATTTTGAACTCTCTGGAGCAAGCCAGCATCAGTTAAAAATGGCAAAGCTGTTCTTGCAGTGGCCAAACCTGGGAGCTACACTGAGAAGAAAGAACTTTAATTAAATCCAATCAGGATGGGACAGAAAGCTTACATAGTGACTGAAATGATAGGAGATACTCTGCTATGTAGTATCCTGCTTTCTGTAGCATAGCTGCACCACTTCCCCCCCTAAATTCTTTCTTGCTTCTTAGCAAGCATTAGAAATCAGCCAGTTCTCTCAATTATGCTGGAGTCGTGGAAATAATTATGGGATCTCAACATACCAAGAGTCAAAACATTAATTTAGGAAAGTTATCAGCAACCAAAAATAATGTAAGAATTTGCATCAGACTAGACTGGTAGTACATAAGGATAATCCTAACTGCATGTATATGTATATATATGTAATATATGTAATATTTGGATTACTGAAATGACTTAGATCCACACTCTTCAAAATGCCTCACTACATTTTATGATTTTGAATACACCTATGAGATATTATTTCTGTTATTTCTTTTATGGACCTCTTACATCACAATGACCCTGGAAAAGCAAAATGTCTCCTCATGTCACAGTAGGAGGAATGGGTGAATGATGAAGATACCATGCAGTCCAGTCTGTTTTTCCAAAGAAAATGATGCATAGGTAAATTAAGTAATTGCTGGTACAGGTATCTGAGGCAAAATTTGGAATGAAGCTCAGGTATCCTGAGTCCTGGTTCTCACTATCATTACTAGGTATTACATACAACACATTTACAGGTCCACTGTATGATATTACTTCTAAAATGCAGTGGGTAGAAATTTGGTGATTTTTAATACTTCACCTCTAATACCCTGATGGTTTGGAAGGCTATGTTAAGTTTTCTGGAGCAGATCTGCAAACTGCATGGAAATACAATGTTTATGAGCAAACCAGTGATGTGGTTTGTTCATTACGGTGGATGTTACAGTTCATTATGGTGGATGATATAACATTGTAGGATGTTATACTTATGGTGGATGTTGGAGTCTGCCATCACTATCTTCTGCTGCAATGTTTCTTCCTTGCTGCGTGACCTCACATGACTGCTAACTCCCCAGCATGTGACAAGTCCCACATGGGTGGTCCAAAAGATTCCAGGAGTGGTTCAGTGCTCCAGAGAAGTTTGGGAACTTTGATTTATCCTGCAGATAGAAGGAGATTATCAAAGTTTTCTACTGTTTTACTCTCCTGTTAATTGCTGACGATGTTTGTGGAAGAATAGGATCACTGTCTTTTCTGCATGATCAAATGCTGCTGCAGCTGGTGACAAGGCTAAATGGTGGGGAAGAATGAAACAACAGCCCCCCCTTTTCCCCTCTTTCTTTTGGCAGTGTATTTTAATTCTCAATTCATCTTTCAACTTAATAAAGAAAGCTGGGATTGGATTTGTGACAAATCTCCACAACTTTCTTCCTTTTCCTGTGAAGTTAAGATTGTATCTATGCTCAGAAGAAAACTTGAGGGCTTAGTTGTATCTCATGGTATTGTTTTCTGGTTTTATGATACTTTCTTACCCCTGGCGATGTTGAGAAATTTGGATTAAACTTTAGGAAATAATAAATGTTCTGTTGTATCTTTAATGGACTAGACATGTTAGTCCTTGTCTTGGCATGTTGTGGATGGAATAATATGATGTCAACTATGGAAAATCGAAATGCACTCTCTTGTAGGCATTTCTAAATCTTCAAACCCAGGGCACTGTAACAAATGAGGCAAACAGCCCAGAACTGTGGACCAAAGCCCTACTACTTCAGAAAATTCTTTCTTGCAAAGCCCTTTTCATCTCCTGCTTTCTGTACTGTGCCAGTGGGCAGTCAGCAGTGTTTCAGCAGTCAGCAGTATTTCTTTGAACACACAGGTTTGAAAGGCCTTATAGAGAGCCTTATCTTCTTTTCACTGTCTTGGCAATGGGTCTGTTTTATCAACATGGATTAGTGGATTAGTTTTGTGCTTGAAAACGATCGGTTTTATGCAGTGAGATACAAGTGGAAGTTAGGCTGAAGCTCAGGGATGGGTGGTGTTTTATTTTTACTCTGCTGCTGTGATGTTTTGGTCCCTCACAAAAAAACAATGACAGATTCAAGTGAAGACCTGTTGAGAAAGGGGCAGGTCACTCCTGGAGATCATCTTGAGGGTGTTGGAGGAGAAAAAAGCTTTTATACACCTTGGTTGGGCAGAGGAGGGATGTCTAAGACTGAAAACTGTCCAAGGAGCAGGGAAATGGCTACGGAGAGCAGGGAGCAAACACACTACTGGGTCTAAGGGATTCTCAGGACTGGGGGGGCACTGCCCAGAGCTGAGCTCCAACCTCAAGAAAATAGATTGTTGGGCTGCCAGAAAGCCTAGAAGAAAGGATGTACTTCAGCAGAATAAGATAATCAGAGGATCTTTTGTTGCAAACCATTTTAAAATTTAATTTCTGTCTTACCTAAGGACTTGGTTTATATCCATTATTAAAAATTAACTCTTCTTGTTTGCATTTTACTAGAACCTGGTTTTTTACTTGAAAAGTCTTTCAATTGTTTTAGGAGCAAGGGAAGTTCTTCCTGCAAACTTTAAGCAAATCTGCCTCACAGTTCCTATCCAACTGGAAGTTTAGTCTTGGCTCATCTGAACAGTGGTTTTCAGAAACTGCTTCTTTTAATAACTTTAATTTTTCTAATCACATGTTGACTGCATCATGAGAGTTCAGGTTTAATTTGGAGGCTTAATAATGGAATACAAAATCTGCTGGGTTTTTTTTGGGGGTGGGGGTGGGGGGGAAGATGACAATTTTTTCTGTCCTTTAAAGGAGATTTTTTATTTCATTAGTTTGTCACATGAACTGAACATTTGCAAAGTGATGCTAAAACATATGCTCTTGATTAAACTTTGTTTTCTGTGTTGAACTTCTCCTGTAGAAATACTGGTGCTGTGTAGAGCCATTCATATGTGACGCCAAATTTGAAATGTCCTCTCTTCCAAGATTTGTCCACAAGTAATACTGCTTGATAGAACTGCAACTTTGTGTACATTATAATAATGTGTTCTCTTTCAGATGAGAAAATATTTAGTCAAATAAGTTGGAAAGGGTACATACTTTGTTTCTGGCAACAATCTCACCATTTCTCTGTGAAAATATTGATATGTTGCTAGCTGTTCATTAACACAACCTCGAGGGGGGAAACAACCTCTGTCTATTGATTAATTAAAAAAGAAGTACTTATTTGGAATAATTGCAATTTGGAAATGTACAGTGCATTAAAATTATTTGTCTTTTGAGAACATATATTATTTATACTCATAAATCTAACACTGACTTTGCAGAAGCACTGGCAGGTTCCTAATCCCCTTGCACAGCAAAGTATGCTGTACATAAGTTGTTACTCAGATTAAAAAGAAAAGTGCAGTCATGCTTATAGTAACCTTTCTTCAATGGCCAAAAGAGTTCCAGAGTTGCAGGAGATTTTTCATCAGGATTGAATATTTGGAACTACCAATGCATAACTCCACAAAAATATTATCTCTGCTGTCAATTTAAGAAAAATGTGTTAACTGTGTGGTTGAAGGGATCTTGAAGTTTCCTCAGTATTAGAAGTTAGTTTTCTACGTTAGCGAAGATTGCTTAATTGCAGCTTCAAAATTCTATAAGGATGAGGAGGATGGGAGTGATGCTTTCAATGACTAAATAACTACTTAAAAGGTTTTTTTAATGACACATTTAAAAATCATAACAACCTGCTCTTCTGTGTGCTGAAGTTAATGATGTCATACTTTTTCTGAAGGGTAATCTAGGAAAAGAATTGACAACTGATTCATGCATCACAGTCTAATTCTTAAATACACTTCACATGGAAGCAGAAAAAACAGCCAGCATTTCATTCACCTTTCAAATCCCAGAATTTGTATGAAAGCCACAACAAACAAAGCAACATTTGAACTGAGCCAGTTGCTTCCTCTGGAAAAAGCATTGTCCTTTCAGGAAATCACAGATGTTTGAGGCAGGCTGGGCTTCCAAGTCTGGATAAGGAACCTTTGGCTGAAGAGTTCTGTGGAAGGCAAGCATGTTGATAGTACACCCGTGGCACAAGCCTTGTGTAAAGAAATTGTGTATGGCTCTATCTTTAAGCTCTCGTTCTCTCTATTTTTCTAAATTTATTGACTTTAATACACTCTCTGCTGACTTGAGTACACACTCTGGAGAACATTTTCCTTTTAAAAACAGGTGGTATGGAAATTTTTGAAATATTGCTTCTGTTAAGCCCAAGCTATATATTAATGTTAACTTGAGCTGAACAAGTGAAAGGATGTGCAAATTGATTTTAAAAAGTACCTTAAGAACGTACATATATAAAAAAGCATTCGCTAGTAGATTTATCTCAATAAATTTAATCTGATAGTATAAGAGTGAAGGCAACAAGAATGCTGAAAGAGAGCAAATTGGAATAAAAACAGTATTTCCCTTCTCTTTTATGTCTTCACTCATGAAAGATGATGACCCAATTTCCAAGGCAATTAAAATCCATGTTGTCAAGAGTATGGCATCCCTTATGGATATCTGGTAACTGTACTGCTGCTCTGGCCTTTAATCATGAAAAACCTCATATTTTTAAGCTCCACCTTGCATATAGGTATCCATATTAAATGGCAGTAGTTTCAAACTTGTTCTATTACATTTTTGCTCTTTAGAAAGCTTCTACTCATAAACAAATTGCATTTATTTGTTCTGGTCTTGTCTTCGTTGTATTGGCGTGTGCATAGGCTTCATTTAGGTGTGCAGGGACAACAACTGAATATATCTAGATGAACTTCATAGGTTATATTTTCTAATGAATTGGTTTTGGGCCTATTTTGGGGGGATTCTTTTTCATAATCAGCTTCTAGAGCTGTGGTACTCAAATCCAACTTCTTTATTGCAATTAAGGCCTAGCCACTGCTGTCTAGACTGCAGTAATGATGTTGGTTATTCTCCTGTAGTAACTCTATCGATAGGCCTCAAAATAGCACTGGTCCTGAGAGCTGATGTTTGCTGACTGTACAAATAATGGACGGTCAGCCATTGCATGTAGTCTGGTTTTTGCCATAATGGGAAACTGCTTTCAAGAGAAAAATAATCCTGTAAGGGAAGGGAAGGCTTTAGGTGTGAAGATGTTTTTCAGCCCTACTTTGGGAAACCATCATTCAAGCTCTCCAAATCAGGGCTGTGTCACTGTTGGTAGTGATGGCTCCTCTTCTTACTCCCTCAAGGCAAAAGGGTGAGGGCAAGGGCTGGGATCTAATGAATTGCAGGCTGAGGGCAAATTCACCTTCCTGTGAAAACTGTGGTTTAATTCTTTTTCAGCAAACTGGACATTAGCCTGAACCTTATCATATTATTTCTTGCCGTTTTACGAAAAGACATCTGAATTAGCTGAAGCACCAAAAAGACCTGTTCTGGACACTGAGAGTCATGTATCTCTGCTAAAAGCTGGACCAGTGTGATGGAAGGTTGTAAATGCCTTGTCTGGCACTTAAATGTCCGAGGAGGAAGTTCCAGAGGGTGTTTTGGCATGGCAAGAAGAATTTCTGCAGTCGACCTCCATGATGTCAATGTGTTCATACTTTTCTTCAGTTTGGAAATCTCCAAATCACTTCAGTGAAAACAGCAGTCTTAAGGGCAGGAAAGTATGATTGAACAAAGCTGTCACAGGGGAAGCCATCCAGCATTGCTCATTGCCTTGGGGTCTGCAGTGAGTATTTTTGCATGTGAATCATTCTCTCTTTTGCATAATTTTGTTATTAATACTGTTGCTGTTACTGTTTATTTCTTATCTCATTGCTGTTTCCAGTAAATTGCTCTTATCTCAGCCCATGATTTTCATCTTTTGTGCCTCCAGTTCTCAACTCCATTCTGCTGCAGCAGAAGGGGCAAGAGAAGGGGGAGTGAGAGAGTAGTGGGTGGTTTGGGAGAGTCTCAGTGAGGGCACTGAATTGAGGAGTACCATTCTTAAACCATGACAACTGCACAAAAATCCTTTGCACATATATCTTTGGCTGTGAGAGAGACTTATCTTCCGTTTACTTGTTGGGATTTTTTCTCTATTAGTATTCATGAGTTAATAAAGCAATAGACCACAATATATGTTTCTTGAATTGCAGTACTTGTTACAGCTAAGAAATCCACACAGAATCACATGAGAGGAAGAAAGGGACATGACCAGCTTTGAATGTGTGCTTCCCACACAACAGAAACCCACAAGTATGTGCAGTTGATGAGCAGCTAAATCAAGTGCTTTGTTGGTCACTTTATTGGCTTCACATAAGGTGCCCTGCTTGACTGGCACTCAAGAACTTGTCCTGTAATATCTGCTAGGAGTCTGAATTTGTTTTGGACCTTCCAGGACAGTAATCCCACAAAGAAGAAGATACCAGTCCTACGGAATGGGACTATTATGTCAGACGGAATGAAAGCACACAGGCTTGAGTTGACTTCTGCTGGCTTGTGGGCACATCAGGCAGGGTGATAAAAATCAGTCACTCCTCCTGACTCTGCCAATGATCTTCTGGTGTTTCCTGGCAAATCACTTTATTTTTCCCTCTAGCTTCAAGCAAGGAAAAATGTTATCCTGGGGAAAAGTTTCACCTAGAAGAACCAGAAAGCTCATGGTAACAGAAAAGTTTGTGCCTGTGATGTTGTTATAGAAATTACCTTAAGCTTTTTGGAAAAAAAAGGTTCCTTGCCTCTAAGCCATCCATTTTCTTTATGCTTTTACATGGTGGTTGATTGCAGATTCAAGTTCAAGTTTAAAACAAGAGAGGAACAAGTGATTTCAATGAAGATGCATTCAGTAAGAGACACGAGTAGATAGAAGTGGTGCACAATGCATCTGTTTCTAGGAGTGTTCTTTGTAGGATCAATTTTTGCTATCAAGGAATCACTAAAAATAGAAGAAAATGTAAATCTATTCTTATTGATGAGATCTGTGCAAATATAAGATTGTGAGGTGTTTTTTTGTTGTTGTTTGTTTGTTTGTTTGTTTTTGTTTTTGTTTTTGTTTTTGTTTTTGTTTTTGTTTTTGTTTTTGTTTTTGTTTTTGTTTTTGTAAAATTGGTATTGCTCCAGGGAGAGCAATTATATTTAGCTGTCTTGGTAAGCAACTGACAAGGTCCTGGCCTGAACAGAAGAGAGATTACTGGGATTCAAATTAGAAATTCCTGAACATGATGCAATAAAGCAAGAAGCTGGCAAAAGCTGCAGTTGATACCATCAGGAATGGCAGAATCACCTGGATTAGAGTGTCAAGCTGTTTATGTCACAACACTGGGGCCTGTGGGAGGAAAAGTAAGCAGGGGTGGTTGGTGTTTATTTGGGAGAGAATGAGAATGGTGAAACAAATCAGAATGGTGAAACAAATGAGAGTGAGAAGGAGAAAAGGGAATATAGTAGGTAGCAAGCTTTGATTAGTGCTGAGTGGGGATACTTGCTGGTATCTTGTACTTCATCACTGTGGACTAAACTAGGGCCATAAACCAAACTTCTTGTCTTGACAGTAGCACATGCAACAAACCTGCTTCCCTAATGAGGCAGAGCAGTATGCTTTCCTTAGGCTGCCAGGGAGCACCTCAGTCAGATCAGGCATCAAGGTATGACAATGCCTGTGCCAGGCCTGAGGGCACTGGCATCCTCCTAAAGACTTCCTGCCAACATCCACAGGTGCCAGTGTAAACCTTGTGCGGTGAAACCCAGTAGCAGCTTTTGGGCCTGTTTTTTCATGCTGCTGATAGAATGAACTTCAGGAACTATATGAGATAGTGGGAATGAACTTCAGATAGTGGGAAGGACCTCTGATCACCATCTGTTCCTCACTTTGACTAAATATAATTCCCCGAAAACTAACACGGTTCATTAATGTGCCGTGTTTGGAAAGCACTCATTCGTCAAAAGAGCTTTGCAAATACCCCTGAGAGGAGTGAGACTTAGAAAAATATGAGTAGAAGAATAAGCTTTGCATTGTTAGAATGAATCTATTACTTTCTTTCCTTAACCTCAGAAGCCATTGCAATAATCAGTAGAGTTGATGCAAATGAAACCTTTTGTAATCTGAAGCCCAGGCAAATTTTGTCATCCCTGTGTTGTCCTCCCAGCAAGCCAAAAGGCACAGTTTGAGAGCCAATGGCCCCAATAAACAGAGCTGGTCTGGTGGGGGACAAGTAACAGGGAGGCAGCCCTTCACTTTGGAACACTCTAGATTATCACCAATAACTGTGAGAGTTTTCTTTTCCAGCTATGTGAATGACCATGTTTCTAGGATGGGGACTGTCTATAATGGTAAGAGGTGTCCATGAACATGCACTTGATACCTCCTGATGAACTATGCACCTGTCCAGATGGTAGTTTTAAATAGTGAGACCGAACTTTCAGCTGTAAATTAACTTGCCTTTTAAAAATCTCACTGCTAAGAAGGCACTTCTCACCTGTCTGGAAATGATGGTAAAGATGAGGGTGCAGCTGGGTGAAACTCCTGTTTGCCATGTGGCAACACTGTCCAGGCAGACCCTGCTAAACTTCTGGGAAGAAAGCTGGAGATTGTGGTGGCAGCAAGACAAAGTGAGGCACAATCTGATTTGGGATCTCAGATGGTTAATATTGCCAGAGATATCTCTGTTCTGGTTTGCTCAAAACTAGACAGAATAACAAGATTTTAGAGTTTGAGATGGATCATTTGAAAATTAGTGTTTCTCTTCTGTGGATGAAGAAGAATGATTGTTTTTCCCCTCCAAAGGACATAGCTGGGAGTCTTCAAACAGTCCTATCTGTGTCACCTGTAGGCTCATAAATGCTATTTACAATTAAGTATTTATAGCCTTGTTGGCTGACAGACACATTTTTCAAGACTTGGAATATAGTACTACTTGCCCTCACCCACAGTGACTATGCTTGCTGATATGCCTAGATGCATGGAAAATTTAAAAACTTTCTCCATCCGGAATTCTGCCACCTCTGGCAAAAATTTGCTGAAATTAATTTTTGAAAAAATATTTAACTTCAGTTTTGATTTGTATTCAGTTTTAACAAAGTTCTTAGCTTTCGCTCTCTGCCACATTTTAAAATCAATTATCAAACTTCTCAAAATTTCACTAAGTTAAAGAACTTGACAGTTTTGTGGAGGAATTCTCCCTCCTCCTGTCTTTTTTGTCACTGTTGTGACAGACTGTAATGGCTTGTAGGATGGTGGGAGGCGACTTGGAGGAGCAGTGAACTCAGGAATGTTGTGCTTATCCCTCTGAGCTCTCAAATGATGTCCCAGTAGGCTGATGGAATAGTGCTTCTTGAGAGCAAACTTTTTCTCTTTTGGAGGTCAGTGTACCCATAAGGCTCCACAGTGATTTGTGCAGAAGCAGGTTTTGCTGGGAAGAAGGGAGAGCTACAAACTGGTTTATGCATTTCCATCTGAGAAGAATCCACTGGTCAATAGATGGGAACTGTGCCAGAGAATATTTGGAGCTGCCCGCTTGTTGCTTGGGGACTGACTGGTGGATGTAGCTGTGGAGGTTTAAGGGATGGCTGATCCCCAGCCGTGTCAGTTCCCAGGGATTACTGCTTCTGCTGCAAAGGGAGCAAAGCAGGATTCACATCATTTCCTTGGCTGCCCCAGGTCACTATCTAGTATTTCATAAAACTCTGCTAGGTAGTGGACTGACAGGCAGACCCAGGTACTCTACCACTGCCTGCTTTGTTGGGGTAGCAATCTGTGGCAGGGAGGTGCAGAAAAGAAGCATTCACAAGCTACAGTGATATTTTTGACTCAGCTAAATAAATCTTCCAGAGTTTGTCTGCCACTCATCTTGTAAGAGGTAGAATCAAGGGAGAGCCTGGTAGTGAGCAGGGGCCAGCTGGAAACCACTTCTGGCTTCTCCTGTACCACTGGCGCACTTCAGAGCAGGAATTTCCTAAAATAGATACAGGGTGTTCTTGAACATCCCTACCACATTGACCTGCATAATCTGAGAAACTTCTACCTGAGTTTGGTTGTTGTTAGGAAGTTCTTTTTTTACTCTGGCTATACATATTTTTGTATCATAAATACCTTTTATACCCATGGGCATTCATTTTTGTAGGTGAGATTCTGTCACATCCCTTCAGATGAAGGACAATTGTTAGCTGTTAAATTTTGATGATTAGTGATTGAAATATAAAACATTTGAGTCAAGGACTGAGGTTTTTTTAGAACAAGCCATTATGGCTGTCTTGTCTTTAAATTAAAAGAAAAATATCAGAGATAGAAAAAAAAAAGCATATTAATGGGGAAATGCAGGGAAAAAATATTGGAGACAGATAAGATGCTCTAATGGGCAGGTTGGGTTAGAAAAAAATGGTTAGTTTGGGAGTTGTGTTTCAGGAGAAGGATGTGATCTGATTGGAAATTCCCAAGGAACTGAGCTCAAAGGAAGGCTCTGATAGGATGGTGAAAATGAGAAAGGCCTTGTTCTTTTATAGATCTATGTATTTATTGTGGCATGAAATAAGTGGTGGTGGAATCCTAATGATCTTTGTCCATAAGCCTGATGTGGTTTTTTGTTACTTAGCTCTGCTGAGTGCTTGTGGAGTGCTGTATGGTGTAGTGGAGAGCTTCAGGAGTAAGTTCTGGGAGATAATATATTTCAATTCAGAGGGACCCGCCTTAAATCCTGTGGGGACAGAAACTGATTCCATTGTTTGGATGCCAAGGAGAGGACACAGAAGCTGAAAACTAGAGATATCAGGTGAGTAATTGTGCTGATCCTCCCCATATTCTAGAACTTTTAGATTGGAGAGAGGTCACTGGCTGGATCTTGCCCTGTTTGGCCATGTACAGATGTGTAGCAATAAAGTCTTGCTCTGTTCTGGGTCTTGCTCTAAAAATGTAAGTTAGACCTATTTCCACCAATTCGTTTTATGCAAGACACTCCATGTTTATTCCTTATGGCTTCCTTTCCCACATCTTACTTGTTGTGGCAACAGCATGAGGCTGTTCTCAGAATCTCAGTAAGTTTGCATTAACAAACCTGTGACCCAGAAGAAAAGTCTTAGCTGGGGAAATGAGATATGGATGAGGGAGGCTGAGTGTGTATAAAGGACTGGGAAAACCTAGGACAGGAGTGCTCTGCTTGCCATACAGTGGAAGGAAAGGATGGTTTGAACTGTGGTCTCAGTGTCACAGAGCATCCAAAATAACCTGAAGCTTTAAGCGCTGGTCCTGTAAATTCCTTATGCCTCTCTAAAAGTACTCAGTGGTCCTTAGGATGGTTCCTGCTGGTGTTTGCAGGCATGTCCACTTAACTCAGTTTTCCAGGAACCTTCCTGCCTTTAGGGTGATTTCTTGACCTCGAGTGTAGTTGCATTTCCCAGAAGCAGTGGAGACCCTTCTCTGAGTGAATTGACTTCTGTGGCCTACTCATGCTCACAGAAGCATAAAACTGCAAGGGAATGGCAGTTTTGATAAAAAAGCAGCAGAGTGGTGAGCACTGAGCAAAGAGGAGCTTGCTTAGGGCTGCAGGGCTGCCTTCAGTAGGATATGAAGTTAATTGTCATCTGGCCTAAGTTAAATGGATGACCTCATGAGCAATAGCGTGTTTAATCACAAAGCCACTAGAAACATCTTGACATGAGATGGAATTGCTTTGTCAGAATTTGTTCTAAAGGGATCAGGAACAGAGGCAGTGAGGATATAACAGAATCTGCCATCAGTACAGAATAAACCTTGCTGTGTCTCTTTCCTTCCTCGCTGGTTTGTTGTGAAATGGTAGAACAAATGTGCTGCCATCTGAAAGGTGCTACCTGCTTTGAAAATTAAGGTCAATCCCAGTTAGTCCTCAGAAATGGGGACTATCACAAATACTTCACTGCAGAACCCCACTGCATATCTGAGATCCTGAGTGATATTTTCAAAATATATCTGAATGAATTACTCACCACTTGTGTGGTGGCTAGAACTCTGAATTAATTGAAGAATCTAGTGATTATCTCCAGTAAAGAACAAAAAAGGGGAGAGATGGGAAGAGAAAGGAAGGAAAAATGAAAGGAAAATGGAAAGGAAAAAGGAAAGGTAAAGGAAAGGTAAAAGGAAAGGGAAAGGAAATACAGTCTCCAGAAATCTCTCAAATCTCTCATTTTCTTTCTATTATTCTCTTGGAAGAACTGCTCTTGAGTGACTAAGTTAAATAACACAAGCAAAAGATGATGATTCATGCTGCTTTTCCTGATAGTTTTTAGTGCTCAAAAGCCAGTATCACAGCTGCAGCTTTGAATAAATGCGTGGGGAAAGGAATAAAATTATAGTAGGTATGTTAGCGTAATGTTCCCAATGTGCAGCCTGTGTATGTGATTACCTAATATTCCTTACCAGCTGTTTCTTAACATTAGTCATAGTGATCTAAAACAACCACCCTCTCTTCATTTATCTCAGTAAACATTGTTCTTTTTTGAAGAGGTAAGCTGTTTAGGAACAAAAGTTGTTCCCTCCTCCCCTTCAGCTTTTTCGTCTGCATGTCGTAATTGTCTGGAATTGGAAACAGCTATAGATGACCGTGTAAGTAATAAACAGTAGGGAAATATTTAAACATGGTAATAGCTATATTTGAGTACCATTATGAATGTGTTTCCTAGTAGTGTCTAGAAAATGCAAGGCTCTGTTCTCATGCCAGGACAAAGCTAAGATAAGAGGAGGAAATATTTTAATTTTCTTGTTTAACACCACACTTCTGTCTTTCCAAATGGAATCAAGATACTCTCTGTAATTTGGTGTTTATTTTCTCATTTGAAGCTGCTTGTACTGTGCAAACATTTTAATTTTATTTCAAATGTGCTTTGTCATAATTCATAACCTGTTCATGCTAGCACTTTCATAAGTGTCTGTCCTACTTCCTGATGGTGAACAGTGCTTTATTACTGCAAAACTCCCACGAAACTCAGTGGGACATATGTTTCCAAATACACAGGCACACATTCTGTGGAGACAAGTGCTGCTTGGGGTGAAGAGACTCTGCTCAAGGTCTGTCTGAAGAGGAAATGACAGGAGTGCTTGTGAGACTGCGAAGAGGCAGCAAGTGGATCTCCTCACTCTGTGGCTTCAAGTACACTCTCTAGGCAGGGTGGTGACCTTCACTGACAAGGCAAGCTGCAAACCAAAACCTCTCTGTAGCTGAAACCACAAGACTTGTTCCTTTCTCCAGAAGAAGGCCAGAGTCAAGACATGAAATGATAATGGGTCATAAGCTGATCATAAGCAACCTGGGTCGGACCATGTGATCTCTAAGAGAGCTTCTTTGTGTTTGTATTACATCAGTGTGAGCAAGCCTGCAATCCTGTCCAGCACTTAAAAGCAATTATTTCTAAATGGTTTGTCTAAGGAAAGACCATATTAGCCTGTATTCTAAAATGTGTATGGTACTGAAGAGAAAGCTGAAATTTTCTACCTGATCTTGAGCACAGAAATGATTGACAGGAATTCTTTCTTGTCAGCTGTCAGCAACAGGAAACCTTTGTGCTCCTCTGCAAAACAGAGCATTCATGGAACAGAAATCAATTCTATCTGAAAGAGTTGATGAATAAGTATTTAGAAGAGGCTATTTAAAGTCTTGAACAGAAAGAAACTCAAAGGACTAACCAATGTGGAGAAATAATCAAACTGGGCATATACGGAGAGAAAAAAATACCCTATTTTTAAGTTTGAAAACTGGTACAGATATCAAGGAAGAGTGTAGAGAAGGGCTCAGCTGGGGTTTGATTAAAGGTCAGTGAGGAGGTCTCATTAAAATGTAATGTGCAGTGCATGTACCTCTTTGTCAACATGTATCCTGTGCAAAATCAAGGTTGATTTCTGAAAAAAAAAATCCACATTTTTTAAATTTTATCTTTCTGCTAGCCTACTCAAACTGTGTCTTCTTTTTCTTTCAGTGCCATGTTCCTGGTCAAACTTATGGACAACACAGAAGAGGAGTCCTCTAATCTCAGACTGTGTTTGTTTTTTTGTTCTTTTCTTTTTTTTTGGGAAGAAAAATCAACAGCTTAGTGAAATTCAATTAATTATTTTTCAGTACCTGCTGCTATGTAGTTGATAGCCAAAGCTCTCTATAGAAAACAGTGTTGAAAATGAAGTCCCAGAAAACGAAGTGTGCCATTCATAGACAGTAAAGAAGCCTTCAAAACTGGAGCCCATTTATCAGTGCCACACATTCTGCCCTTGAAGTTGTTTAATATATGTTTATATGTTTAATATATGTAGAACACTGGCATGAGGCATGTACAGTCATTGTTTCTCTTTGTACTTTTTTTGCTGCAGCATCAGAAAGAGATGTGTCAGCTGAAGCATATGTCGGGATACCTGACAGAGTAAAATTCCAGACACAGAACTCAAATGCTGCATTCAGGTCTTTTTGTGTAGGTAACCAGATGCTATTTAACAAAAAGATGCCATGTAACTATTCACAGGGAAAATATTTGTAGTGAACACATAAGCAATGAAAGAATGCATTCTCGAATAGTTTGAAAACAATGGTGTAAATGCAATTTATTTCCAAGGAAGTTGAATTCAACATCCTTCCATACCAGCTCACACTGCTGCTGTTGCCTGTACTTTGTGTTTATGGAAAGTAACAGCTGCAACATCTGTTGTCATCACAGCATATTTTCAGCACATCATTAACACACATTTATACCATTTGTATGGTCTTTTTCTTCTCCTCACTTCTTCATCTGAGACCACTACTCATCCTTCAATATAAACAGGTTGTGCTTATATTACCTGAGCCTCCAGAAGTTGAAAGACATTCACAATATATCTGGATCTATTGCCAAGTCCTTCTTGACTGGGAACATGCAGAAGACTCTGGCTGGGAAAACCTCAGCAATTAAAAGCATTCAGGGTTCTTAAAAATTAGTACTTTCTTCATTTTAGTTTATCTGATTCAACAAGAATGTCCCCTGAAGTCAACATGTTAATTTTTCTGGGGTGTCAGCAAAGACAGTAACCGATCTCCTGGATTTCCACAAAGCATGTTTTCTTCTTAAACCAGTTGGATCAAACAAGGGATTTAAAATCTTCATTTTCACTGGTTTGTTCTTTTATTTTTTATCTTGCTACTTACAAGGAAGAAACAGTAATCAGCCAGCTAACAAGTAACTCATACACTCAAATTTCATGGTTCTTTCACACTGTCATCCATATTTATAAATCTGCTGTGAAATTCACCTCTAATTTTAGTAGGGCCTTGTCTACTAGAAAGATGAAAAAATAGCAAGTGTTTGTCATCAGGCTGTTACAGATGAGGAGAACCGAGTCTGATGACATGTCTTTAGTCGCCTCTTTCACTTTCTCTCATTCAGTTTGTGGGTGTTTGGTTTTCACTCAAAGCCTGACAGTTTGATTCACAGGTTATTTGAGCTGACCAGTGCTGTGTAATATCAACCTCCATGCAACACTCTGGGTCACACCTGCACATTTAGCTAGCTAGGCCGGTGTTGCTCCACACATCCTCCTTCACCACTCAAACACAACAAAAGATCGTGATCAATATGAGCACAACACAGTTTCAAAACCATTCCAAAATTAAAGCCCCAACATTCAATGATCTATGACTAATTGCTGATGTCTCAGGTGATTGCCTGAGAGTAGAGTTTAACTTTTGGTAGCTGTTGACAATATTGACAGTCATCGATAGTCATCTAAGATTGCTGTCTGTGTTCACCCCGTCCAGGTAAAAAAGCCAGTTAAGAAACTCATATATTTCTTCTTTATTTGAGCTAAAGAGGGTATAGTTGAGATGTCTTTACTGGGGGACTGTTTGAAATTGTGTTAGTGTTCAACTTGGGTCACTGGTATTATCTGTGATTGTTATAAATTGTGCCTTGTTATAAATAGGCATAGAATCACCTTCACAGAATAATTGTAATACTCAGAACCTCATATTAAAATGAATCTTGTTTTTCTGCTAGTCTACACTATTAATATTTGCAAAACCCCTATGACTTTGATAGTAATTTTCTGAATGAGAGAATAACAGGCTATTAATGATATACTTCAACCTATATATCACTTCAAGCTGCTTACTTATTTGTTACTAATTGGTGGCTTGCTATTAAACAATATTGTGTCAGGCATGGTGCATGTGGAGAGAGCTCTAACATAAAAACCGTATAGAAATAATATTTCAGGGAAATCAGGGGTGCATACAGTTACAGTTCCTTTCCTATTCAGTATCTGGAAGTATGTTGTTCTCATCATCCTGTGCTTAGATTTTTCATCATAATCTCATGTACAGCAGCAGTTTCTCAACGTCAGTTTACATTTCATAGAATAATGAAAGGAAAGGTAAACAAGGACATGAAGCTTTGTATACTTATAGATCAAGATGGAAGTTTTTGCTTGCACTCATTGCCATGCACATTCCTGAACTGATCATGCTGTTGTAAGTGCAAAAGCCCTTTCCTGAAAAGTCTGATAAACAGCTTTCCTTGTTTCAAGAATGCATGAGGCTTAAGGGGAGAAGAGACCATCATTGGTTCAAGCAACATTTTAAACCGGCAATAAAAGTCAATAGACATTAGTGAATGATTTTAACAAATATTGGAAACACAGCTTCCATGTAAAAAAAGTAATAAGCTGGGATGGAAAGGCAATGGAGCTATGTTGAGACCTTTGATAACATGGCCACCCCTTCAGATAAGGGAAAGGTGAAAGGTTTCTTGAAAACTATTCACTGGGTGGGAAAACATGCCTTTGCTTCCTGTGCCACAAGGAACCATTGTGCTACTTGAGCAAGGACAGTCAAAATGAAACAGAGTGAAGCTGTTCACTGTCTGGGAGGTGTCACATGTGGGGCCAGAGCGTGTGCAAAATTGCTTCCTTGCCACAGGTCCCAGTGTGAATGTGAAATTAGCCAGGTTTCTGCAGTGCCTCCAGAAGTTGTTTAAACTCAAGGTACACTCTTCTGTCTGCATTTAAGTTACAATTAACAGCATGAATTATTGTTTAATTTTCTAAAGGATTTTTTATCCTTTTACAGAATGACTGCCATGTGAAATACAGACAGTAAAATATTGATGGTGTTCCTGCAGTAGCTGGGAGCAACACTCCTTTAGCTCAAGAAGTTGCAGGATGAAATTCTGTGCTTGATGTTATACAAAGAGATCGGAACACATGGGCTCTGTTGGCCTGAATAACCTATGAAATACCTCAATAAATGTAGCACCTTATACACTAAAAAGACTATACACTAAAAAGACAAATCTCAAACCCAGACATTGAATTTTTTTGTCTTTGTTTAATAGCACACAAGAATAAAGAAATGAGAACAGGGATGACAAAAGTAATGACACTTGAAAGTAGAACATATAAGTACAAGAGACAATAAAAAGTTATGAGAACATATTAATCACACACAGTCTCACCATCTGTTGACTCCATATATATGCCCCATCCTACTACTCCATATGCTACTTGAAGATAAATACATATAATGATGGATAACAAGCAAAAAATAGCACACAAAAGGTCTAACATACACATAGTAAATAAGCATATGGCATAATGACCCCATTTTAGTGTATCTGTGTGACCTTCCAGAATACACAAGCAAGGAAAGGAGCTGATCAGCGATTGAGCAAATGTGGCATTAAGGAGATCTAATGACTTCAGTCATTGAAAACTCAAAAACCCTCATCCATGGAAGAAGCCTAAACTGAACAAACAGTCTAGGAACATTAAATAATGGAATGTAATACCAACACAGAGCTCTGCCCAATTCCTGTCACTCTTCTTTCATCATCCTCTCTCTCCCTTCCATACATGTCCAAATATGAGTGACTTTCTCTGGTCACGAATCCTATTTTGCTCTGTCAGTGAGTGTCTTCGGTGATGGAGTCTCACATTTAAGGAACTAGAAATCTTTGAAGGTAGTTTTCTGTGGACTGTGGAGCAGAGGAGAGAGGTGGAGAGTCTGTGCTTCCTCTTTTTTGATGACTGTTTCCTGTGCAAGGTAGAGCATCCCTCAGCTAAGAGCAAGGTGCTCTTGCATCAGAGAACAAGGTTGGCCTCTGCAGGGCAGGTGGAAGTGATATTGCTCTGAAGCTGCTTGGTGTTCCAGAGGAGCTGGTGACTCTCATTTTAATTTCCCTCCTCTTGCTTCTCCACCTGCCAGGTTCTGGGTGGGAATGAAGTTCAACTCTCTGCAACATGATGGTTAGCAAGTTCTGCATTATCTTTGCAGTCCCTGCCAGAAAAGTAGGAATTTTTCCACCTGTGAACTCTGGGCACCAAGTAGGGGCATCTTCAGCATTTCATTCTGGTTAGAGAAGCTGGATTGACAAACACCCCATGGTCTTTTTCAGATGTTACTTTTGTGTCCTCTAGTCCCATCATGCTTGTTTGGCCAAATATATAGTCCCACAGTGTTTCATAATTTATTGTATGTGTAATTAATGGATGGATAGACTGTTTAACACTGTCTACATTTCTCTCTCAAATATGTAGAACCAAGAATAGAATTTGTCTTGCTGTAAGTGGTAGCAGTTCCTAAATGAATTTTCATTTGTGGATCACCTCACACACCAAGGAACTGGACTGTGCCAAACAGATGCTGATCTGATAGCAGCTATCAGTTCCCAGTTCACAATAGCCTTTCTGATTTGTAAGGGAGCAGGTGTAAGGAAGCAGGAGGCAGCCTGATGTGCAAATCCCTCTGGTTGAGAGGGACTTATCTTCTTTTGCACCCTCTTTCCTTCACCTCTCTTTTTAGGCTTCCATGTCAGGCAGAAGAGATGAGCCTTTGGCCATTGGTTACTGTGGTTTTCATGGCAGCTGCAAAGATTATTTTGGAAGGCAGTTGACTCTGTCTGCGAACTTTGATCTATATTTCTTAATGAGTTTTGCTAAGTGTACAACCATGTTTATATTTCTGCTCCTGTTACAACCCAGAGGTTTCCCTTTGCTTTTTTAGTGGGAATATTTTCAACCCAGCGACAAAGGGCCTGTGCCCGAAGGAATGCCACTGAGAACTAATTTAGTGGTTGTGCTGTAGGGTTGCTGTGAGCCACATGTCAAGGGACTGACCATTCTCCATTCCCTTGCCTGGTCCTGTGCAAATGATAAACCTGGTGTGTGCTAAGATTTTTCTTCTGGAATGTGGAAGAAGAAAAGTCCTGCTGTAGTGCTCTACCTATCTCTCTGTGAATAGCTCCAACATTTACAGCAAGTGAAGTTACCACCCTTTTACAGAAGAAGGGAGGAGATTAAATCTGGTTCACTTCATAACTACTTTCATGATTGAAAACAGAGGGCTCTTGTTAAGCTCTGTTTACTGTTCTTAGTTATGTTTTCTTTTCTTGCAGCTATGTGATTCTGATGTATGCTTATGGTTGCAGATTCTCTCTTTATCACTTCTGTTGTCAGAGCAGTAAAATGTGTTCTGCCAGGCAAAATTTTGGGGTGCTTGTCTTTTTGTGGCAGAACAGTGAGCTAAGAGAATTTTATGAGGGATTTTCTGAAGAGAATTTTTAATTTATTGACCATAGGTAACAGATAAAAGATCCAACTTTCATTTCTCTCTGGAAAAGTGACTTTTTTTTTTTTTTTTTTTTTTTTTTTTTTTTTTTATGGTTGAGTGCTTGGCTGCCTTCACAGACAACCCTGCCTTTGCCTCAGGCTGGGTCTAGGTGGGTTGTGTTTGGTATGTTAGCTGTAGAATCTGACAGACTCTGGCACTGGCAGGGTTGGGGAGAAGGATTTCAGTGTGAACAAAGAAACAATACCCTCAAGAAATCCTTTGACATTGAGTACTATAGCCATTGTATGCTATAACTATTCCAAAAGGCACCTATCATTATTCACACAGCCTCAAGAAACTAAGACTGTCTTTTCCTCTGTGGTATTTTCATTTTACTTTGTGTTTTTAGCAAAAAAGAGTTCACACACAGGCATCACAGGCTTCACAGGGTTCACACCTGGCATCACAGTTCACCCTGTGCCATCACAGGGTACACATTATGGACCATTCTACATGAGGAGTTGTGCTCAGACCTAGGCTGTGCAAAACCAATTTGTGTAAATGCACATCCCTATCACCTCTCCTAAGGTCCACAGCCCAGTCTTTCCCCATCAATACCTACCTGAATGTCTGACAGAACCTAAGTTTTTCAGAGAAGAATCCACTTGTGACAGTAGTATGTATAGTGTGTAGCACAATGGCCTACTTCTCCTGTTAGACCTTTAGATTCCAAGTAAAGAGTATTAACAGAAGCAGTAAGTAAACATCCCGTGATTATAAGCAAAATTTTTTCAAATGGATCTAATGTGACGCTTATTAACCAAAACCTTTGAATGGCAGAAGAAGCTGGGCATCACTTCCCAATTCCTTTTCAGTTAGGAAATATCTGTGGTGAGAGCATTTTCATCTACCATCAACACAAGATTCTAGATTAAGAGAAGTGGCTAAAATGGATTTTTATAAATTCAGCTTAGATGCCGCTATTTTGAGGAAGTGAATTTCTGCTACAAGGTGCACTTGCTGTTTGCTATCCAGGTTTCCTGATCTAAATGATTTACTGTTTACTGCCTCTTGAGAGCTGAGAAATATCATTCTTACAATGAAATCTCCTGAGGAGATGCACTCATTTGTAGAGTGCTTCAGTTCAGGTGAACTATATGAGTATGTATGTAACAGTACCAATGACAGACCTCCTGGGCTGATTTTTTTCCAATGCACGCTTGCGTATTTTTTCTTTTTATAAATTTTTATTTTTGGGGCATAGTATCTGGGGATTATAATCTTGACTGGGGCTTCCAGTTCAAAAAGGGAGCAGTAATTCTTTCCTTTGTTTGACCAGCATTTATCAGAGTGGTGC